TCACATGTAGTAAATGCTTAATAGATGTTTGTTGAATTAATAAATGAATGTGTTCTGGGCTTTGGACATATAGAAAGGTGAATCAGCAAGGAAGTGCTTACAGAGTGCCTGCCGCGTGCAGTGTACTGTTCTAAGCACCACCAAGCAACACAGAAGATTTAAAAAGTTTATTTCCTGTGCTATAGGTATTTATAATCCACCTAGAGGAGATAAACAAAGAATCATATAGCCTTAGAATAGCTAAAAGCAGTTTCGTGCTTTCAACATGTAGTGCAAAATGATAGGTTAAAATCTGATAAGGTAAGTTTGTACACCCTGCTGGTTGGTCCAGTCAATGAATATTGAGAACCTACTATGTGCCAACACTGCCTTAGGTTCTGGCAGCACAAAGATTAATAAAAATGCAATCTTGCCTTTGAGGAGCTTCCAGTCTAGACAGGTAGTGTGGTCATTTTGACAACATGAGTAAAGAGTCAGGAGAGAGAGAAGCATAGAAAATACTGGATGCAGAGAGAAGGAGCACATAACCCAAGGTTTCTCAGCCTGGGCACTGTTGACATTTTGGACCTGATAATTCTTTGTTTTAGATTGCGTGGTAGGCTGTTTAGAAACATCCTTGGCCTCTACGCACTTGATGCTCTATCATCCCCTAGCCATAGCAATTAAAAATGTCTCTAGACGTTAGAACCAACTACATAATTTGTGGAGCCCACTGCAAAACGAAAATGTGGGATCCTTTGTTCAAAAAGCAGGAAGAAAAAGTATCATTAAAAATACTAAAGTATAAAGATATAGTTCATGTTTTCGGTGGTCTGTTCTCTCTCGCTCTCACTCTTGCTCTTGTTCTCACTTTTTATTTGCTACTTGTTATCACATTCCCTGGGGAATGTGGATGCTAGCAGGGTTAGTGCAAACCCTCATAGGTCCCCAGGGACCCCACTCTGTAACTCCATGTGCACATGTGCATTCAGCCCACCATCTGCCAGTCTCCCCCTCTGACCAGCCATCGGACCTGTGAATTGTACCCCAGCTGAAGGCATGACAGTCAAGCCAGGCATCTACCCTTCCAGGGCTGTTGCTCTACCCCACAGCGGATGGATCACCCCAAGGGCATTGCAAGGGTGAGGGTGGGTGAAAGGCTTACATAGACCCTTGCCTAATGCTACATGGCACTGCCAGCTTGGGTAAGGAATGGCCTTTGTCATGCCCCACCCTAAGGTACCACAGGCCTAGAGCACCCTATCCTGTGCCTACAATCAGGCCCCAAAAGGGCGCAGAGGGCAGCAAGGGTTTCCAGGTCGAAGTCGGGAGAGAGAGGCCTGGCAGGGCAGGGATACCAAGTTATAGAGGAGCTGGAGCCAAAAATCCATCCCATAAAGTCCCATAAAGGTGGGACCTCATGAGCTGAGGCTCTGAGCTCCTGGGCATGCTCCATTGACCTGTCAGACTTCACTTAGAAAACAGAAATTCAAAGATAAAATTATTAAGAATTTTGGGATGGACTACAGATCATTAAACCTCAAGAACTCCCATGAAGCTAGCCCTGCCAGACATTGCCAAATCTCCCCTAAGAGGCCAAAACCACCCTAAGGTGACAACCACTGAACTCAACCTGGGGTTATGTGGGGCCTTCCTAAAGGAGTGAGCCCTCAGCTCGTCCTAGAAGGTTACAGGGTGGCAGAGGCGGCAGCGGGGGTTGGGGGGAGTGGGAATTATTAGAAGGGACGGCAGTAGTCAGGAAAGGTTCCTGCAGCTCACAAATTTTAAAGCAAATTTGTGATAAGTTATAGAATCTGGTTTGGTTTTTAAGGCTTTGCTCAGCTTGTCTTTCTGCCTGAAATGCTCTCTGACTTATTATCAAAATCCTTCTGACCTTTCAAGAACTTTGCTGGTTCCTCTATTATTAGCATTTGCTCCTATTTATTAATTGTGCCAAGTGGTTAACATATATTATCTTTCTTGGCAAATTCTACACTGTTTTCCTTTTCACAGTAGAAGAAACTGAGGTTCAGAGTGGCACCTTGCCCAAAGTCACACCTAGAAAGTGGCAGAGACAGATTTCGAACCTACATCAGCCTGACTCCAAGCCCCACACTGATTCCCTTATTGCATCTGCCTCTTGGCTAGGACAGAAAATCTTCGAAGCCAGACAGAGCTGTTAGCTGCTTTTAAATCTCAACTCAGTAGGAGCAACAAGAGGCTTTCTGCAACTCAAGCTCTCTGAGCATCAGTTGAGAAAACTAAAAGAATAGTGATACTGTCTCATGGGACTGTTATGAGGAGTAAATGAGATATTTTCTGTAAAGCAATCAGCATAGTGCTTATTTTAAAGCTTGCTCCATTCTATCTACCAATAGAAGTAAATGTCTGTCTCTTTCACCATATAACCAAGTCATTTCAGAGCAGGAATTGAATTTTGTTCATCCCACCAGCGCTGGACATCTACTACAGTGCCCAGCACATACTGGGTGCTTAATACATGTTTGCTGCATTGACTTAGCAGCCCTGCACAGCTCTTCACCCCTAGGCCTGGAAAGAGGGTTTTTGCCTAGTCACCAGAGCATTAAAGGATATCATCCCTTAGCATGAGGCCCAGCGGTCACCCTCATGCTCAAGGTGCATGTCGTGGACAGCACTCCTGATCAGGCACAAGCAGGTAGGGCAGGGGCAGGGTCCACCCTGTTCCTGCTCTATAACTACAAACTAAGATGCGAGTTGAGGAGACGTTGGTAGGGGAGGCACAGTGTAATCTCAAGCGGGTAGCAGTTTCTGACTCATTGATTGGACCCAGTGCCTTTCTTGGCATCCTTTACAGCTTTTCCATCACAGAAGCATGACATTGGGAGTGGAAATGGGGTCTCCTATCATGTCTTATTCTCAGGTCTTATATCTGCTCCTGGGCTGCACCTGTGAGAATGTTGTCATTATACAAACAATGTTGTAGAGAAAACAGTGGAGTCAAGATTCAGAAGACTTGGGTCAATAGATAGTGATTCTGGCATCTCCCGAGCGTCATTTTTCTTCTCTGAGCCTCAGTTTCTTCATCTGTGAAATGTGCATACTAATGCCTACTTTACCTTCTTTGTGGGACTATTTTGAAGATCAAACAAAAAGAGGAAGATCTTTGCACACCATAAAACACTGAACAAATATATAGGTCTTTATGTGGCAGGTATCTTCGTAGACAGGAAAGACTTTGGTCTCTCTCTCACACACACATAATGACAAGATTTCTCTCTGTGCTGAGACTGTTCGGGGTGTTTGTATGTGCTCCCCTCTGTTTAGGTGAGCAGAGGGCTGGGAAGATGCGGAAGAGCCAGAAGGGAAGTACTCTGCATGGGACTGGGCAATCTGTAGTTCAAGGTCCCACTTCTTAACTATTTGTGGGTCCTTGGGCTAATCCTTACCCTTTAAAGCCTCCATTTCCTCATCATTAATCTGGAGATGATACTGTCTACCTCACAGATTTGTGAGGAGGAATAAAAGAGAGAGTGTAGCAAGGGCACCTCACTAACTTATTTGAATATTAATCTGAAAACAGATTCCAAAACATTTTAGTAAAGGGCATTGCTTTTTTCCCTAAACACCATAGCCTAGCCCATATTAAGTTTTCAGTAAACATTTATGTGCTGGGCCCACTGCCAATCTCACTTTTTATGGGCGTAGAGAAGGAATAGATTATTGCTCTGGAGTGAAGGATCTCTCTGCCAGGTGTAGTATTTATTAGTTTAATATCATACTAGGTCACTAGTTTTTAATTTAATCTTTTACAAACTACTGGGAACACCCTATTTCTAAAAATGACCCAATAGAAGGATGTGAATTATTGAATCAAAATGAGAGAAATCTCCTCTACCCTTAGGAGGTTCCCTGGCAGAGATCATCTGATAGCAGCATGTTTGGGAAATAAAAGCAGAGCTGCAAGGGATTTCTAGAAAGGAAGCTGACTGCTGGTGCTTGGGATTTTCCACCCGCTTGCTATTACCTTCTAGCTTTCTGCAAAGGGCTTCACACACAGCAGACATTTGATAGTGTTTGTCAGTGAATTTATACCAGAAGCTGTGCATTTAGAAGGAAAGGAGCCCCTGAGCCATGTGGCGTGATCGAGAAAGCACTTGTGAACCCAAGCGCTGTTTGTGCCAGCCCATACAAGGCGATTTTCTCTGTTACCTAATTCAATTCTTCCAATAATCTTACGAGGTATAAATTCCATTATTATCACCATTTACATATGGTGATAATATAAAGACTCAAATTAAGTAACTTATTTCTGACTACATAGATGTTTATCCAAGGGTTGACAAACTGTGACCCATGAGCCAAATCCAGCCAGCCAATTGGTTTTATAGTTTTACTGGAATGCAGCCACGCATATTCATTTATGTATTGTCTATACTAGCAGAGTTGAGTAGTTGTGAGAAAGACTGTATGGTCCCCAAAGCCATATTTTAATATATTACTATCTGGCACTTGATAGAAAAAGTTTGCCAGCCCCTGAAATACATAGGTCTATAGTTTTAATGATGATAAACTATGCATGGTAAATGGAAAAGAATTTGAAGGTCACACATCGACAGTAGCAGTTAGGAGGGAATAAGGAGGTGATCTCCACTCTTTACATTTCGTACTTTGAAATTATTCATTTACTTTTTACTGTTATAACTTACAGCAACATATACAGATCCTAAATGTGTAGCTGATGATGTATCCACCATTCTAATCAAGATATAGAAATTTTCTAGCGTGCCAGAGAGCTCTTTCCTGACCCACCCCTATGAATACATTTCCCAAAGTAACCTCAATTTTAACCTATATCACCATGGATTAGTTTTTCTTTCTTTTCAGCTTCATATAAATGGAATCACACAGTATGTATTCCTTTATGGGTGTGAATGGTGTTCTACAACTTTATTGCTAACAACTTGGAAAACTGAGAAGTACAAATGAGGTAAAAAAAAAAAAAATCATCCTTAATGGCATTATCTAGAGATGATCACTTGTTATTTAGTCAACAAATATTTTATTGAGCAACTGCTATGTATCAGGCATTTCTCCAGGCATCGAAGAGTAAGACATGAGATGGTTCCTGCTCCTATGGAGCTTACTGCCTATGGTGTATTTCTTCATGGGTTCATCAAAAGTACCATGTCCAGCACTACATAGAGGTCTGGCCGAGCTCTTGGACCATCTGCCCCAAAGGCCTGAAAATGGACTCCCTGGTAATTTAGGACCATTTATTTTTCAAGTCACAGGAAAGCTAAATAGTCATCCAGGCCAAATGGCCACTTTTCAAAAGATCAAAGGCCCAGAGAAGGCGCTCACCAAAGCCTTTAGGAAAGTGAAGAGTCATCCAGAAAGGAATGTTGTATCCAGAGCTAGAACTTCAGGCTACTAACCCTGCAGTCTAGAATGTTCTTCAGGCTGTGAAACTACTCTCTAACAAGAAGGCCCCTGGTCTTCTTCAGACCAGGATAGGGCAATATTTATGTTTTTCTCTAGAGATGATTTCATTTTGAGGCCTTCTAGAGACTCCATAATCAATGGGAAAGTCTTGGAGAGTGGAGTAGCAGAGGATGGAGAAGGCCAGGCACTCCTGGCTCTAAGAAAAGCAGGGTAACCATGGAAAGTAGGGGGAAGGTTGTATGCACAAGAGCGAAAAAGGAATATCACTTATGCTGCAAAGTTACAGGAGAGGTGGGTCCCCAGGAATGGTTTGTCATTCTATGAAATTTCCAAGATGATCCTCGAAAAACCTTCATAGAGTGATGAGCCAATTGATTTTAAATTATCTTACAGCAGGGACTGCATCTCCCATAAAAAATCTTGGAATTCGAACTGTGAATTCATTGTTTGAGTAGAATAACGTAAGGTAGTCTTTTCAAATTCAGTAACTCTTAAAAAAAAAACAAGCTGGGAATCAAAGAGCCCAGACATCAGCTGTCTCAGTTTTTCAAGTGTTTTCATGATGTGCTTCTTCTTTCTAAACATGTGAGCCTGTCACACTCCAGGAATCTGAGGGTACTAACTCATTTAATCTTTCCCAAAACATAGTAGCGTATTATTATCATTTTCCACATGAGGAAACTGAGGGTCAGAAAGATTATGTAACATGCTCAAGTCACACAGCTGGTTAAGCATATCTCAGACCAAAATTTAGGTCTGTTTGATTCCAATATCTACCCTCTCTTCTCTGCTATAAATTCTCTGCTTTTCCTTTATAGACTCCTCGCTTTCAACTTTTTATCTCCCAAATCAGTAAAAGCTAGAAACCTTTGTCTTTCCTCCTAAAGCCCTGTTCAAAAGTCCTGAACCCCAGTCTCGTCCCTTCAATTAACTTGCTCCAATGGCTCCAAGACACCGCCTTCAAATGTCCTACGTCTTATTTTCCCCATCGTTGAAATAGGACTACGATATCAGTCCATCCATCACCACTTTATCCTATGTGAAGCATAAACAAAGAGTATTTCCACTGTTTTCTTGCTTCCTCTACTTGGGAGTTTAACTAAAGGGTTTTATTTGATAAATCATTTAGTTAGCATTTTTGACTCATATCCTGAAGGACTCTCTACTGGGATGCTTACACTTTCCTTTTGAAATTTCCATAGGAAGGGGTAGGTATTGGATCTGTTCACAGATCTATAGTAGCAGTTACTTGGTGAGCACCCATATTGCACTAGGTGGTATATACAAGGCAGATCTGGGCAGGATTACAGGAAGTTGCTAAATACATATAGATCACCTGCAAGATGTACCTGGACACTCACAGGAAGTTTCCCTGTACTCTGTGAAACTTCTTGTACATTCACAGTTTATTTGAGGTACAGAGAAGAATGGGTTTGCTGACACCTGAATTTTGAGAGATAAGGAAGCTCGAGAGTCAGACTGAGCACACAACAGTTGGAACTACAAATCAAAGCTTTGTCGTTAAAAGGGAAGTGATTGCTGGTTTTTTAATGGGTTTTCCCAGCTAAACACAGAAACTGATCTTCATTACACTTGACTGCTTCTATCATGATAGCAAGTGAGAAACAGAAAAAAAAGAGGTTGTTTTCCAGTGACATTTACTCTCAGCACTTCATTATCCTGGTTGAGGGGAACTGGGGAGGCAGAGAATGTTCTCGTAGTGGGCTAAACTGTGAGGGGCAAGGACCTGCCATATGTCACAACAAACTAGAAGACAATAAGGTGAAAGGAAGGGCTCCCATTTCCATGAACTTATTACCCCTTCTCAGGGAAACCTTCCCCAGGGCTCCAGGCACACGACCACCTCGCTATTTTCTGGCTCTCAGCATAGGTGGTCCAGACATCTGTAGCTGATTCTGTATTTGAAAGAGACAGCCTAGCTTCTTAACGACCTGACTTGAATCAATACACCTGGAGTACATCTAGATTTGATTCTGAATCAAGCAAATTGAGAGCTTGCTGACTCCTCTTCCCCCACATTGAAATTCCTCTTCCCCAAACTAAGCCCAACTTCCTCCTAATTATCTTGTAAAGGTGAGAAAGGTAGGAGAATTTGCTTAGAAGAGCCTTTGCAAATTCCCTGTGGATTCTGAATTTTTGTTTCTAATCTCCCAGTCCCTCCAAACTCAGTTCCAGATCTTCCTGGTTTTGAGAAATCTAAGCCTCCAGAGACTAGATTTTACTACTGGGAAGTGGCTTCCTGCCTTCCTATACTGCAAAGGGTGAACGCTATTATTACACTAAGAGGTTTCACAGGTGGTCTCATTCAATGCATACAAGGCTCCTCTCCCTGTACTGTAGGTATCAGTATTTTACAGATGAGGAAACTGAGGCTTAGAGAGGGGAAAGAGGTGTCCTCTGCCCCAGGAGCTTTCGGTCTGTGAGCCGGGGATCCTAAAAAGCCCCTTCCCCTATTCTTCTGCAGGTCAGGTTCAGCCTGTAGGTCTGGGTGCGCCTCGGGACTCCTTCCCACACACTTTGCGCCCCAGGGAGATGCAGGTGAAACTCATAGAGTGCTGAAAAGTTCCCGGCTTCCTTCCCGGCCCAGGCCCGGGTGAAAAAAACTTTTATCCCTCAGCGGTTTTATGGGCACCTTCTCAACTTGTGCTTCTACCGCCGCTGCCACCTGCAGCCTCACGTCTGCAGGGCGCCATCCTTGGCTCCAGGAACCGCTTGTGTCCTGGAGCTGCAAATAAACCAGAAATCATTGGAGGTGGAGGGGACGGACACGTGGCTCCAACTGCCCATCCAGCTACTGGGCAAACTTTGCTTTCACTGCTAGAAAGGAGGCCCGGCAATTCTAGTTTTGCCCCGAAAGCGGAGGCGCTTTGATATTCCGGGTTTCAACTGGAGAGCTTGGCCCAGGCGTCCAGTTGCCCCGCGGCCTGGCCAGGCTGGGTGCTGGGGGCAGCCGGGCTGCTGCGGGAGTTCAACTTTGGCTACTCCCCCTGGCCGTAAATTAGTCTACGCCTCCTTCCAGCTCGCCTACGCTCTGGGAGCCGGCATTTCTACAAATGCAAACCGCCAGATCCGGCTGATGAGGGCCTGGGGTCTGCAGAGTGGTAACCCAGGTAGAACTAAACGGGGTCCCTGCAATCCGCCCTTACCCGGCCTAACACCTCCCCTACCTCCCACTTTCCCCCAGGTCTCAGCGCCCATTCCCAATAGGTCAGTATCCCCTCTGCTCGGTTGGCTCTCCTGGCCCACCACCTGTCTGTTGGGACACCTCGGAGGGTCTCTACTCTCCCATTCTCTTCCATCTCCTTCTAAGAACACCCCAACTTCCTCAGCTCTCACCTGAACCCCCGAAGCACAGTTTCTTCTCTCCAGACTAAATCCGGACTCGAGGCTGGTGGGAAAGCCCCGGAGTCTTCCACACTAGGCTGCAAACTACTTGCTTAACAAGTCCAAAGGTCAGCTAAAGTTTAGCTGATAAACAGAACCAGTACAAGAAGGTCTTCAGCCCCCCAGCGTGAGTACAATGGACCCTGGCAAGCCCCGCTCCCGCCGGAGTCCCCAGCTCTCCACGTCTGCCCCACAAACTCTCCCTCTCTGTCTGTTTTCCCCCCCTCCCCACGACCATTTGCATCTTGCCGAAAGCCGGGCCCTCCCTGCTAATTTGCATATCTTATATGGCCTAATGGTGGCGATCATGGCAAGTTAGAAGTTTTCTGACTTCTCGGAGGAGACTCCGGGACCCCGCGGAGTAACTGGTGTCTGGAGGCTGAAGTGTGGGGGCTTCCTGGACTTGGGGTTCGCTTGTGAAACTCCCCACTTCCTTCTTCTCTTGCACCCACACACCCCCTTCTTTTTCTGTCCTTGGAAAATGGTGTCCAAGCTCACGTCGCTCCAGCAAGAACTCCTGAGCGCCCTGCTGAGCTCTGGAGTCACCAAGGAGGTGCTGGTCCAGGCCTTGGAAGAGTTACTGCCATCCCCGAGTTTCGGGGTGAAGCTGGAGACGCTGCCTCTGTCCCCCGGGAGCGGGGCCGAACCCGAGACCAAGCCGGTTTTCCATACCCTCACGAACGGCCACGCCAAGGGCCGCTTATCCGGGGACGAGGGCTCCGAGGACGGGGACGATTATGACACCCCTCCCATCCTCAAAGAACTGCAGGCGCTCAACACCGAGGAGGCGGCGGAGCAGCGGGCGGAGGTTGACCGGATGCTCAGGTGGGTGCGGACCGAGGTCGGAGGTACGCGCTCAGCCCCTTGAGCCCCCCGGCCTTGCGCCTAAGCTACGCAGAGCCCATGTCTCTCGCCATACCTGTTCCCCACCACAGAAGTCCCCCGGGGGGCGCTCCGCTTCTCTCCCAACACCTGGACCCCTCTCGACTCCTCAACTGGATGGCCCTGAGCCCTGAGGCTTCATCTCCCCCTGTCCAGGGCAGCGCCCGGGACCCAAGAGTCCCTCCTGGCCGGGCTGCGGAGCCCTTTGCCCGCGCAACTGAAGGTGTGAGTGGGTTCCGTGAAACAGCAGTGGTTTCCCAAGAGCAGAGGCTCGGGCCGCACAAGTCCCAGGCCACGCATTTCTCCCGGGCGCCTCCTCTCCGGTCCTGGTAAAACTCAGGCCTAGGGTACAGCGTCCTACTGTTCTTTGCAAAAGAACAGGCGTCAGCCGAGGCCGGGATGGGGGGTGGGGGGCGAATTCTCAGGTGGGCACTCCCATCTGCAGCGCCCAAGCAAGGCCCAGGATTATCCGGAATCCCCCAAACTGGTTTAGATTTGCAAAAGGAAATGTTTGCATGTTGTAGGGTCAGGATAGACACTCACGGGGCAAAATTAGCCATATATCTAAACAAGCGAGGGGCAAATGCGGCTAAAATCCCAGTTCGCAGCGGACCTGGTCGCAACCTGAGAAAGGGCGTTTCCGGATCTCGCCGCTGACACCCTGGCTTCCCGGGGGAATTCAGGCGGCTTGCCTGCAGTCTGTCTCCCGGTTCGGGATCGTTTCCTGGGCCTCTTCGATCGGCCTAGGGCTTTGACAGCTGGTTACTAATTATTCAAGGAGCCGAGCGGTTCCCTTAGATCGCAAGTCGCTCGCAGCCGCTCCGCTTTAGGACCGAACCCCCTCGCGTGGCCTCGGACACTTCAGCGCCGCGGTTTCAAGGCAGGGCCAGGACCAAAGTCGCGACCCGGACTCGGGCAGCCTCAGTTGCATGTCCATAGTGGCACTTTGGGGTGGAATATGACCTTGCATTTGAATTTGCCATCTGGGGACCTGGCGGCTTACTCTCTAGCAAAGACAATCAGGAGGGACTTGTAGCCCTAACCCCCGCCCCCGCCCCCAAATACTTAGTTACAATTCGTAGGTTTGACGTTCTTCCCTCATCATTTCTCCGAGTGGCGGCGGTTTCTCGCCCGCCGGAGTTTGTGCGCAGGAAGGTGAGAGGGTTCGGTAGGAGCGGCCAGGGAGCCAGTCGGCCTGGAGGTTGACCAGGGCCTGGTGGACTAACGAGCTCCCGCCGCCTACCACTTGGGGCCCGCCGGGCCTAGGCCCGTCAGCCCAAGAACCCGTGAGCAGGCTCTACCGGGGTCTGGGAAGCCCAAGGCGACCAAAGGCGCCCCTCTGCACCCAGCCCCGCGCGGGGCTGGACGCAGCAGAAATGTAACATAAACTGCAGCACGTGGAGTTAGGGTGTTATTAATTTATTTCTATAAATCATCAACAGAAAGATACACAAAGAGTCGTGATTAGGTTGAAAAGAGAGGCGGGTTATTCATTGGTGAAGTTGTAAACGCGGCTTAGTAAGGGAAGGAAATCAAAACTCGGATGCGGGGTTGCTCGCCGCTCTCAGCTCGCGCGCGCTCGCGCACACACGCGCGCACACACACACACACATACACACATACACACACACACACACACACACACACAGCACTTCGGGGCGCTCTGGCCAAGCCCCCAGTGCGGGCACACCCCCGGGGCCGCCAACACCTGCAGGCCCTGCCGGCAGAGAGCCGGGCTCGGCCCTGGGTCCTGGACCTCAGCCCTCTGCCCTCGGCAAAACGCCGGCTCCAACCAGGCTGCGAGCGAGGAGGCTAGGGGTTCCGAGACGCTCGCCGCGATGGGGACGCAGGAGGGACCCCGGGGTTTTCTCCCCTTCCCAAACGGGTGCTGCCTTCCTTCCCCCACCTTTGGGAGTGCTCGGACTTATACATTTTTCAAGAAATTGCTAGCGGTCCCCAGGTCACAGCACAGTCGGCTCCTGAGCGCCAGACACACGCTCCGTTTTTTGCCCACCCAGTTTCCCTAAGGCGGAAAGAAAAGAACAGGAAAAGTCACTTTTTGGAGCGCTCGGAAGCTCTCCATACCTCCTAGAAGAGGAAGGCGAAAAAGGAAGGTCGGGGACTGCGCGCTGCCGGGTCCCTGGGTCTGGGTGGAGCCGGCCTCACTCTCCGGTCTCTCCACGCTGGCGCGTCGGCGGCGTTTGGAAAGAAGCTGGAGTTGAGGCTTCTTAACCAACACGCGGCCAGCTGTGCTGGGGTCCAGGGTGTTTCTGGTCGTGGGCCGCAGAGGCATTGTTTGGAAAGCGGCGTGCTGGGCGGACGGTGCGCGCGCCCAGGTCCGGCGTTTGACACCTGCGCTCGGAGCACAAAGGCCGCGCGCGCTTCTCGGGATCGTGTATTTATTGGGGTCGGGGACCCCTGAACATGAGCTGTATTTCAAGTTTTCAAAAGTAACCAGTTCTCCAGGTTCTTCTCGGTGAATCTGTTGTTAATTCTGGGGTCAGAGAGCTGTAAAGGTATAACTACGCCATCTTACCCGCAACTCTAGTTCTTTAATGCGGTCTAAGCTTTGCTGTGGTTTATAGGGTTTTCCTGGTCGTCTTCTTTTTTTAACTTTCCCAATTGTTGAACTAATTCA